GGCACCTCAAATGCATCAAACGGACATAAGTTTTACCGCATGTTAAAAAAGCACGCAAACTGAAACACAGCAAAAAGCTCCACGAGGTACTTTGTTGTTCATAGGGCAGCCCATTGAAAAATGCGTCTCAAATATACTAGATGTTATCAGAGTCTTATATGGAGCATAATGCAAATCTTAAGGTGTGAACAGCCTTCTGCAGAAATGGACTCTTCCAGAAGTGTGGGTATACCTGGTCCCCCCGCTGTGCTCAATGGTTCTTCCCACCAGCTCAGAGTGGCAGAAACCACTGGGGGGTACCAGGAGCTAGTGAGCTCTGAATGTTTCTCTTTTGATACAGTATTACAGGTATAGAGAGAGGTATTTATTATTTTACTAGATCTTTTATTCAAGGTTTTATAAACCAGTGTACCTTTAACCTCCCTGACGGTATTCCCGAGTGCAGCTCGGGGTAAGGTTTCAGTACCAAAAGCGGTAACCCCCCCCCCCGAGCTACACTCGGGCTTACCATGCGACACTGCTCTGGCATCTGTTCTTCACTTACCTTGTCCTGCGCTCCCGCGATGTCCCTCCTGCAGTGTCCCCTGTAATGTACTCTGGCGGATGCCGGCATCTATCATCTGGGTTCCGTCCCCTGCGAGCGTTGGGACGTATGGGGGACGGAACGGCGGGAAATTTGAAAATGACAAAAAGTGACATTCACTAAATACACTAAAATCACATAGTAAAAACATTACTGTATCAAACCATTTCACATACATTTTGTCCCTAGTGCTTTGTCCTGTGCCCTGCCTGCATTTTTACTGTTCTTTCTGCCTGGAAACTGAGAAAAGTCCATGGCATCCAAAAAGAGTCCCTTTAGGTCAAAATCGGTTTTAGACCAGCTGGAGAACAGCGATAGTAAATTAGAACCACTTGCAGAATTGAGTGATAATGATTCGTGGGGAAAACGATTTTGCGACTTTGCTTAGTGATGTGCGAACTTGGCGCTATATTTCAAATTTCAGTGTTTTTGGTTTGATTATATTATTGAATTAAATTTATTATTATTATTATTTTTTATGATTATTTTTATTAAATTATAATTTATGATTTCGTGTTTCAAATTTTAACATACCGGGGATGTTTACTAGACTCTTGTTCGGGCAGATTTCAGTGAGTTATTCCTAAAAATTACAGGCCTAAAATAAAAAAAATACATATTTCCATGCAAAAAAGTGTACCGCTTTGAGCACAGAAATATGGACATAATCAGACCGCTAGGGAGGTTAAGCTAGCTATAGATGGATCGAATCTTGGCCGGTTCAGCAGCATCAATTGACTTCAGTACAACAAGTCTGTTGGATTTTTTTGTATGAGATTACTGCCAGCAGCGATCATGATGTTCTTCCAGAAGGGAAGACTCCCTGGCAGACCACAGTAGCGCAGTGTTGCAGGAAACAAAATTGATTTATCTATGGCTTACATTAAAGCAGAACTCCTACCAAAAATTTCTTTAAATGTCCTTGTTGCTGATTTCCTTCTTTCACTGAATAGGTTATCCATCTTCTTGTTCATTCAGTAGTTTCTCTGAAATAGCCTATTCATTTTCCAGTCAAACCATTAATTCCCCTTTGGCTTTCTGTTTGTAAGACCAGTGGCTGCTATGCCTCCTATTCCCCCAGCCATTGGTCTTGGCACATCCCTTCTGTAGTTCTTCCTCCAGGAATCAGTGATGTAATTCAGTCCCACTTGCAGTGGTAGACAGACTGAGACTCTCAGACACATTCAGCATGTACAGGCCTAGTGTACCCGCCTACATTCACTACAATGCCTAGAGGTAGATGGGACCTGTAGTTTCCATTTACTGCAAAGGTGAGAGAATATGATATAATCCCGGCTGTTACAACTCTTTGGCAGAGCAGATGCTGTTATCTTTTAAATTACAGAGATGAGGTCATGAAAATAAATTAGACTTTTCTCCTAAATGGTAAAGATTTTAAAAATTGTATTAAGTGTGCCGAGTTTTTTGTGTAGGGGGTATATTAACCTCCCTAACGGTATTCCCGAGTGTAGCTCGGGGTAAAATGTCTGTACCAAAATCGGTAACCCCGAGCTACACTCGGGCTTACCATGCGGCGCTGCATAGGGAGTCCCTGCAGCACTTACCTTGTCCTTCGCTCCCGCGATGTTTTTTTCCCTGCAGCGTCCCCGGCCATCTCCTCCGGCTGATGCCGGCATCCGGCTCCTGTGTTCCGCTCCCTGGGACGTACGGGCGGCGGCGGGAAATTTGAAAATTTAAAAAAAGTCATTTTTTTTTCAAAACGATTTTACATAGTAAAACATTGCTGTTTCAACCCATTTCACATACATATTGTCCCTAGTGCTCTGCCCTGTCCCCTGTCTGCATTTTGAATGTTCTTTCTGCCTGGAAACTTAGAAAAGTCCATGGCGTCCAAAAAGTGTCCCTTTAGGTCAAAAGCGGGTTTAGATCAGCTAGAGAACAGCGATAGTAAATCAGAACCACTTGCAGAATTGAGTGATGATTCGTGGGGAAATTCGTCATCAGACACTGAAAACGATTTTGCGACTTTGCTCAGCGATGTGCGAACTTGGCGCTATATTTCAAATTTCAGTGTTTTTGGTTTGATTATATTATTGAATTAAATGTAATATTATATTATTTTTTATGATTATTTATTAAATTATATTTATGATTTTGTGTTTCAAATTTTATCATACCCGGGATGTTTAATAGACTCTTGTTCGGACAGATTTCAGTGAGTTATTCCTAAATATTACAGGCCTACAATAAAAAAAACTACATATTTCCATGCAAAATAATGGTACTGCTTTCAGCACCAGAAATCTGAAATAATCAGACCGCTAGGGAGGTTAATGAGTGATTTTTTTTTTTTTTTTGCCTGTCCTAGAGTTCTTCTTTACTGCTCCATTCACATCTGAGTTTTTTAGCTTGAATCTCTAAAACGCTCAACATCCAAATTCCCATTGATAATATAAAAGTGTTGCGCTACTCATCCAACATTCAGAAAAGTCCAAAAACATAATAGAAACAATATTGTGTCCATAAAATGTGGGTGATTCAGGTGTTCTTGATTGATCCAAACAAATGCTGTGTGCTTCACCCGTCACACACTTCCACCAAGCTTAAGGATGACCGGTCATCTGAACACCAGGACCTATATACTGTAATTGAATACAGGTCACAAACGCTTGTTGCATTTCCATAAACAGACTCAAGATGGCAGCAATCTGATGAACACTACATCTCCATTCGAGCTCCATTCCAGTTATGAAAACTCCACTTCCTTTCCTCCACTTGACATACCTCTGCTTCCTCTCCTCTCGACATTCCGCTCCTCTCCTCCACTTGACATACCTCTGCTTCCTCTCCGCTCGACATACCTCCGCTTCCTCTCCTCCACTCGAGATAGCCCCAAGGGAGAAGAAAGTAAATGCCCCCAATAGTGTAATATTGTTTTATTAAAATATATTGAAAAAGCCAAAGAACTACTCATATTAACAATAAAAACACGTGTTTTCATAGAAACCGGACTTCCAGTCCGTGGCTCCGTGCCGGAAATAACGTCACTAACCTCCGCCCCACGCGTTACCCACGTGGCTTTATCAAGGAATGGGTGAAGCACACAGTATTTGGATCATTAAAGTACATTTGAATCATCCACGTTTTATGAACACACTTAAAATAGTTTTGATTATGTTTTTAGACTTTTATGCGCTGAGTATTTTGAGTAGCGCAACACTTTTTTATATTATCGATTACTGTTCGGAGTGTGGGATCACTTTGCAGTGGGTGCAGCAACTCAAAATTTATTGTTCACCAAAAAAAAATTTTTATGTTATATGGTAGCACACATTGATATTTTTTATATTTATCCAAATTCCCATGGGTTTCAGTTGTGTCTGCTCACACCTGAGCGTAGTGTCGCTTGATGCTTGTGGGTCGAGGAAGGACATGAGCTTCTTTTCAGCTGTAAGCTTCAAGCGTTTTTAGCCCTAATAGACTTCTGAATAATGCACAAAAAATATGCAGAAACGCTCACATTCTTCCCCTGGTAACTAGCTTGCCATTGGATAACAAAAAAAATTGGAAAGAATAAATGCTCAATGCCCACAAAACACTTAAAGACGCCTTTACAAAAAAAAAAAAAAAGTCTGTAAAACAACCAACAGGGGTCCCCCCACCCACTACTGCCTCAATGAACTGCATTAGCCCCTTCTTAGCTGATTCCTAACCTTATATTCCTTAAGCTCTTGAGGTGCTCAGATGCAGTGTAGTTTCACTTTAAACTTGCTCCTTTGTTTACGTGGCTGCAAAATTCTCTTCATTACTCACTGTGAGACCCCTTCACGTTGGCTTTGCTGCACACTGAGCCCCCTTCATGTTGGCTGTGCTGCACACTGAGCCCCCTTCACGTTGGCTGTGCTGCACACTGAGCCCCCTTCACGTTGGCTGTGCTGCACACTGAGCCCCCTTCACGTTGGCTGTGCTACACGCTGAGCCCCCTTCACGTTGGCTGTGCTGCACGCTGAGTCCCCTTCACGTTGGCTGTGCTGCACAATGAGCCCCCTTCACGTTGGCTGTGCTGCACAATGAGCCCCCTTCACGTTGGCTGTGCTGCACAATAAGCCCCCGTCTCGTTGGCTGTGCTGCACACTGAGTCCCCTTCACGTTGGCTGTGCTGCACACTGAGTCCATTCACAGGTCCCAGAAGACTGAATTTTTGTTTGGGGGGGGGAGCCCGCTTTAAGGTTCTTATGCTTAAAGTGTTACTAAACCCAGGACCCTGCATTCACTATATCTAGTCCCCCACAGTACACACAATGTGGAAATGCAATTATGTTAGTAAATATAAACTGCTAAATACCTTTTCTCATCAGCAGTTAGAGCAGTCTTGTGACTTTTATCAGTGTCAAGCCAAGCACTGGTTAAAGCTTGTAGAAGGAGTTTTAATTTTGCTCTAAGAGGATGCAGGACCCTGACCTCTGTCTGGACAGTGCTGATTGGCCCTGTTCTGATCATATGCGCTCTCCCAAGAAAAAAAAAAAAAATCTTTAGCAATACACACCAAACTGAGCATGTGTCGAGTGACACCACACAATCTGTCTTATCAGGAGATAAGAGGGGGACACTGGAAGAAGGGGAGCATCAGAGAAGTCATGATCAAACAGTGTGTTTCACAATGCCAAGGATTAACCCCGTAGTGAGTTTACCAAGCATGCTTTACTGCATATACAGACTGATTTGACTGTTGTGGGTTTAGTAACACTTTAATAATCTGGTGCCTCATTCCTGTCATTGTGATGGTTCCCTTGCTGGATGGCTGAACATCTATGTTACCTGATCTATAACCCCCTGCTGGATGGATGAGGAATGTCACCTGGAGAGAGATGACACACTAATCACCTGTCCTGCTGCTGGTTTGCCAGATGATCTTTGCCTTTCCAGATGACCAGTAGTGGTCTGACAACTCAAAGGCGCATATATTTGCGATATCTGGTTAGTGCAATACTTACTCATTCACAGTCACGGGAGGCACGGATTTCACCCATGCTTGATCATTGGACGTTTTATTACCATTGTGTCTGATTTGACAGTTATTTTCCACATGTCACTTATTGCACTTTAAACGTCATTTTTCTAAATGTTTTTCACTTGCCATTACCTTAGCGCTCCACAGCGCATTTATATGAATATATGTTTTATTATTTTTTTACTCTAATTTCTGAATATAGCGCTGCATTGTTTGACAGATTATATATCAAAGGTTTAGAGGTTGCACCTTTATGCTAGCTGCTTATCATTTACACATTTCCTAGCGCTCGTATACCCCCTTTTATATTCTTTATGCACTTTAATAAAGCAGTCCACAAATAGTTCGAATCTTGGCTGGTTCAACAGGGAGCAGCCGAGATTCTAACCATCTATGGGCAGGCTGATTGTATCCAATTCGATTGTGATATGACTTGGGTACAACCAGCCTGTCAAAGTGTTCATGCGTTCATTGCCAGTGGGTATAACTGCTAGCAATAATCACTGTTTCTCCCAGCAGGAACAGCTACCTTGAGCCCCCTCAGCATTGGCTGTACTGCACATTGAGTCCCCTTAGTGTCCATACGTCAGCAATTTGTGATGCTGTAGCCTCTATAAGACACCACAGGAAGAATCCAGTTATTGTCTATGGGGAATGCTCACACCTATGCAATCTACTTCTGGAAAAAAGGTGCAGGCTCACCTTTTGGAGCAATGTAGTGAATTTTTGACTGCATAGACTTCAATGAAACCTACATGAAAACCACTCAAATAATGCAATACATTGTAGTGAAAAAAGCCATAAATTTAGGCGCACATGTTTTACCATAGAGGGCAGTTTATTAAAATTCTGTATGGGGCTCCAACCATGCCTAAGGGTGTGAAGTGTAGCCAGTGCTGAAGAAAATGTTGCCACCGAGAATGTAAAAGTGGCTTATGGCTCTGGAGCTAAGCCCCCATTCATACTTAGCAGAAGTATAGCCAAGCAATTTAGAGGCTTTTTATTACAGGAGTAGAATTGCACGTTCTTGGCCTTTTAGACAAAAAAGCTCTTGTACTTTTTAGAGGTTCATGTGACATGCACCACAATGGGGTCTAGGGTAAAAAAAATAGTAGCTTGGAGAGGAGTTAGTGTGTGGTTTAACTTGGGGGGTGGGGTTGCCGATGGGATATTGTAAGTTTTCTTAAAGGTACAGCTGTACAGAACACCTTGTCAACAATGATAACTCTTCTATGTCGATCTTCACAGGTGACCTTTAAATCAAGAGGTTTCTTCTGCTCCATGCTCACAAGGACACAACTTCAGTCTTGCCAACACCGAAAGAGGGCATCCCTGCACAACAACAGGTAAGCCAGTTTTAGCCACAGGTGGCAGTGAAACAGCAGCCAGGACACAATAACTTGAAGAATTGTAATGGCTACCTTTTTCCTTAAAGCAAAACTCCATCCAAAAGGGGAAGTTCCACTTGTCTGCCTCCTCCACACCTCCACTGCCACAATTGGCACTTTATTTTGGGGGGCAGCGGGTACCTGGTTTTCACAGGTACCTGCTTCCATTTCCCGGTCAGATCGCCACAGCGATCTGAGCCAGGAGTTTGCCCCCCCCCCTCCTAATCCCCGCAGCCTTTTGGGACACTTCACAGGTCCCAGAAGATTGCAGCCCATTTGCAAAGCACAGCACCCTTTGTGTATGCGTACTAGGAAACTGGTGTGAAGCCGCAAGGCTTCACTTCCGGCTTTGCTCACTGAAGATGCCGGCACCAGCACCCAAAGCCGATTGAAGAATCAGCTCTGGTGAGGACATTGTTGGCCCCCTGGGACAGGTAAGTGTTCTTATATTAAAAGTCAGCAGCTACAGTATTTGTAGCTGCTGACTTTTAATTTTTTGGGGGAAGCATGATTTAAGGTTCTTAGGCTGAATAAAGCAGGGCACAGATGGTTCAAATCTCGGCTTGTTCAGCAGGAAGCAGCCGAGATTCAAACCATCAATGGGCAGGCTGATTGTACCCAATTGAATTGTGATTTGACTTTGGGTACAACCAGCCTGTTACATTTTTCATGCTTTTATTGATAGTGGTTATAGCCGCTAGCAACAATCACTGTGTTCTTCTGGCAGAAACGGCCCTCCATGGTCGCGGGAAAGAAAGTTGCATCTTCTATGGCCGGCTTAAAGTGGTTGTAAACCTTCACATATACTCAGTGAAGTGACTGGCCTCAGGCGATACACAGAGATGAAACAAATCCTCCTACATAAGTTGTACCTGTTTATCTCCAGCTGACTGTCCCCTACATTCATTCAAATTACAGAATTTACACAGGATCTCTCAGTTCTGAAAAGCAGGGGGCAGGGAGCTGAAGTTACACTCAGTGAGGAGAGCTCTGGGAGCTGATTGGAGGGAAGGGGCACACCCCTCCCACACAAAGGGCTGCCAATCTGCTGGAGGTCCCTCCTCTGTCACCATTTTTTCTCTTGATGTCAGGAAAACTTGTCAGAAGTTACACATGCTGCAGGTGTAATCCGCACTGAAATCTGACCAGAAATAGACTCATTTAGCAGTGTGGACATCCTGTGTTCCCTAATGTGCTCAGTGGTTCCTCCTTTCTACCCCAACATCATAATAGCACAAAGTGGGAGGAACCACTGGGACAGAGAGAGTACTAGGAGATAGAGTCCTGAAAGTATTGTTTCCAAACAGTCTTCAGGAGGCAATTCCTCTTCATTACAGCATTACGGGTATTGAGAGAGGAAAGTATTTACTAGGAAATCTTTTATTCCATGTTTGATTTTAACAATTGGATGTGGAGATTGAGAACTGGAAACTTTTCATCCTGGGTTCTGGTGGTGCCCAAACGCCTACAGGTATGACAATGAAATGAATACAAATTTTATAGCACGGTAATTTTTAAGTACATACAGGGCACCTTAACCTTCTTAGCGGTATTCCCGAGTGTAGCTCGGGGTAAAATTTCTATACCAAGAGCGGTAACCCCGAGCTACACTCGGGCTTACCATGCGGCGCTGCTCTGGGGGTCCCTGCAGCACTTACCCTGTCCTTCACTCCCGCAATGTGTCCCCTGCAGCATCCCCGGCCATCTCCTCCGGCCGATGCCGGCATCCGGCTTCCATGTTCCGGTCCCTGTGACGTCGGGACGTACGGGCGCCGGGACCAGCGGGAAATTTGAAATTTTTAAAAAATGTCATTTTTGCTGTCATTGCTGTTTCAATGCATTTCACATATATTTTGTCCCTACTGCTTTGTCCTGTGCCCTGCCTGCATTTTGAATGTTCTTTCTGCCTGGAAACTTAGAAAAATCCATGGCGTCCAAAAAGCGTCCCTTTACGTCAAAAGCGTTTTTAGAACAGCGATAGTAAATCAGAACCACTTGCAGAATTGAGTGATAATGATTCGTGGGGAAATTCGTAATCAGACACTGAAAACGATTTTGCGACTTTGCTCAGCGATGTGCGAATTTGCCGCTGTATTTCAAATTTCAGTGTTTTTGGTTTGATTATATTATTGAATTAAATTTATTATTATTATTATATTATTATTTTTTATGATTATTTATTAAATTATAATTTATGATTTCGTGTTTCAAATTTTATCATATCCGGAATGTTTAATAGACTCTTGTTCGTACAGATTTCAATGAGTTATTCCTAAAAATTACAGCCTACAATAAAAAACGACATATTTCCATGCAAAAAAATGGTACCGCTTTCAGCACAAAAAATCGGAAAGAATCATACCGCCAAGGAGGTTAATGGCATATAATAAATTATATCAAACGAGCGCTGGGTGACATAGGTTGAGCAGCTAGCTTAAAGGTGAACCTCTAAAACCTTCTCATAAAATCATAAAAATATGCAGCGCTGTGTAAAATGAGGATTAATAAATAAATCAGCATCTTAATAATAATAATAATAATAATAAAAGCAATATAGACAATAAAAGGACTCCAGAGTGCTAAAAACAGTAGTTCAAATAACGTCCAGGTGTGACGTAATAAAGTGCAAAGAGTGGTGTAAAACAAGCAAATTCAAGTTCAATATCGAGTAGGGCCCTCTTACCCCTCGTACGCTGTCTGTCTTTGTTGTACTGTGCCATGTATTGTCCCCCCCTATTGTACAGCGCTGAGCAAACCCTTTGGCGCTATATAAACTCGTAGTAATAATAATAATAATAATATCAATTAAAAGGTGAAACTCTGTGACTCCAGTAGCTGAAAATGAGCGTATATTGCACTAACCAGAAAGCGCAATGTAATGCGCATTTGAGTAATTTAAAACCAACTCCTGGTCATCTGGAAAATGGGACACTGGGGGTCATCTGGCAAACATCAGCAAGACAGGTAACACACCGCATACATCTCCAGGAGCAAACCATCCATCCAGCAGGGGGGAACCACTCGTGAAGGTAGATGCAGAGTAACAGGGATTCACCTTAGGGGGGACTCGTAACAAATGAGCCAGAGAAAAGAAATGTGGCAATGACTGAATCCAAAATGGCCACCGGCCGTCCACGTGGGCCGTGCGGCGTAACGTCACCAAGTAGGGCACCTTTCTAACGCATTTTGTGCCCGTGCACATTATCAAAGGGATAATGGCATAGGATGTTTTCTGGAAAGATGAGCTTAGCCTTTAAATGGGAGCACCTGAAAAAAAAAAAAAACATACCCACATTTTTCAGGCGCTTATGTTCAAGTCTCGTGTCCACAAATGTAAAAGTCTGCTGTATAGAAGTTCATGTACTTTTTAGATCTTCATGTGACATGCAACACATTACTTAGGTGTGAAAGGGCCCATTCTAAATAATGGGATTCATCATTTTGACCACTATTGCACTTCGGGAATCGCACAAGAAAAAGCTCAATTGCAAGGTAAAATATCAGCTAAGAGGGGGAGATAGTGTATGGTTTAGCTTAGGAGGGTTGTTGGTGGGTTACTGAAAGTTTTGTTAAAGGTACAGATGTATAAAACACCTTGTTAGTAATGAAAACTCTTCTATATCTGTCCTCACAGGTACCCTTTAAATTGGGAGGCCTTCTCTGCTCCACGCTCACAAGGACACAAGTCCAGACCCACCAACACTTAAGAGGATACAGCAACAAGTAAGCCAATAACAGCCACACAAGAATTGCTTTGGCTCCATAAGGTCCTCAGGATTGAAGGCTAAGTTTAGCTTTGGTAATATGTTACATGTAACACCTTTATTTAGGGTGTAACATGTTACTGTGCAGCACCATCCTCACCCCTCCATGACAGCAGGCAGGGGTTATTCACATTTTAAAATTGGCACTGCTGTGCTTGGCTCTGCCCGCACAGCCGCATTTTGCATTCACCAAGATCTATGAATGAAGAAACTACAAATCCCCTCTGCCACAGCAGCAGATGGCTTGTAGTTCTCAATGAAGTACAAGGGCGTTGATGAGCGCCCTTGTAGTTCATTCACACTTCTTTCAGCTTTCTAACAGACATCTTGTACTGAGGTATGGGCAAGAAAGCTGGAATAAGAGTGTGCAGGAGCCTGACAATACACCTGCGATCCACTGATAGCGGTGCCAATACTCTGCAGGTTCCTGTGAAAACAATAAATGCACATTTATTTTACCTACAAAAACGCGTTCATTTATAACTTACTCTTTAATATCTTTCTGTCCCATTCATTGGTTTCCAAGTGAGCCATCTCCTGAAACTTTTGTAAATGATTAGGTGTCGTTCACACTATATCCATTCACCTGCGTCTGAATTTGATGATCGCAGGCTCAACACCATGGCACATAGACAGAAGTTGTTTTCTATGTGTCCTGTTTTCACGCATTAGAGTGTGGTGTGATGTGCTGAAAAAAATGCAGCTTGCTTGCATTTTTACTCATTGTAATGCATGACACCACATGTCACTGCAGAGCAGCACACTGCAATGCACTGTGGTGCATAGAGTTGAATGAAGTGTAATTTTGTGATGCTTAAAACATGAAGAAAAAATTGTAAAAAGTGCTATGTGTTGTAACAACACATTGCACACCCCTAACTGCCCCTACACAATGCACACCAGCATGCATGCATTTTAGTGTATGGGCTGGTAGATTTCAGCATATATTTACCATGAAAGTTAAACTCCACCCAAGACTTTTTTTTTTTTATTTTAAGTTTACAATAGCGACTCACTTGTGAGGAGTTCAGAGTATTTCTACACTAGAACTGTTGTGTTCTCCACAAGGGCACACAAAAAACAGTTGTATGCTATGTTCCTTGTTCACACAGAAAGAAGCAGGCAACAGATGTGGAACACTGGAAATCTGCAACATGTATGCATTTTTCTGTACCACACCCCAGCCCACTCTCATGTTTAGAGTTTCTATGCAGTGCAGCATTGGAGTGAATGAAATGTCACTTTGTGACATTTCAGTAAAGTTAGGGAAAAAAACAGCACCCTACATTGTAAAACTGCAATGTCTCCCCCCCCCCCCTATTTCCCCAGCAAAAGCTTATTAAGCATGGATACAAGCCTGCACAGGAAATCATTTTCCTGTACAACTAGTGTGAACAAGCCCCGAGAAGTGTTAGAACCTCTGTCAAGTTTTATATTGCTTTCTGATTCATCTTTAGGGAGATTTTCCCTAATTTCCTGTCCAGGTGACAATGTTGACATCCAGATAGGAATTGATGGAAAATTATCAACATGGACATAGATGGCAAAATAAAAGCTATCAGGTGCTCTGACCGTCCTCTATTACAATTAACTGTCTGTTTCTTGCTGATTGTGTCAGCATCTGGTAAGATCCAGAAATCCTATCACTAACCTAGAACTTTGCAGTAAAAGCTCAGTAAATCAATTATTTTAAATGCTTGTTTGCAGTGTTTTTCCTTTCCCATGATTTTTTTTAAAACTTGCTAAATATTTTTGATAGCTCCAGGTAGATTCAAATCTCTATCACAGCCCTACTTCCCAGTATGTCATAGCTCTCTCCTCTTCTGTGAGTGTTTGATTACAGTCTGTTCTACGCCAGCTTCTCCGTCCCTCCCTTGACCACCTTCACATAAGGCATGTGAAGTGGAATACTATAGTGTGTTACTTGAGTGACAGCTGTGAGTCTACTGGGGCTGCTGACATCACATTCAGTATAGTATGTCCAGAAGCAGGGTTTCTTCAGGGCTTTTGGATTTGTACACAAGGGAGGCTTTTTACAAGTAGGTTTATAGGAAAATATGGAAAGATTGTTGCTGAAATGAATGCTCTGGTGACCGGGCCTATTTAAATGCTAAGTCCATCTTTATGGGAAAAAACCACAGGCACGTATTTTTGCCTGGAAAAAAAAAATGTGCATTTATTTTTTTTTTTTCACAGGAGCCTACAGGGCATTGCACCTGCAATCAGTGGATCACAGGTGCAATGTCAGGCTCCTGCAGACACTACCTGCAGCTCTGTGCCCCTACTTCTATATGGACTGTCAGTTTCAAAGCTGTAAGAAGTTTCAATGCACTTTGAAGGCGCTGATCAGTATTCTCGTAGTCCATTGAGAACTACAAGAGATCTACTGCGGTGGCAGACCTGACTTGTAGTTTATTCATTCACAGATCACTGTTAATGAATACTGTGGTTGCTGGGAGGAGTAACCTCCGCCCACTGTCATGGGGGAGGGGGTGAGGGAGGGTGCTGCATAGTAACTTGTTACACCCTAAATACAAGTGTAACATGTTACTAACGCTGAACGTAGCCGATTTTAAATGAGACAGCAGGTGCTAGGGAGAGGAACCCCCACCCAGTGTCTCAGGGCTTTACCTTACTGCAGCTATACTGCTACTTCAAATAATAAACTTCACATTTGCAAAGCACACCAACGTGTTTAGCGCTGTTCTAGTACTATCACTTTACAGTCATCCTATCTTGATATCTATTACAATGAAACACAACACATCAAGCAGAGGTGAGGGTGTGTTACATCATTTTGCTCTTTTCATGCATGTGGTCAGTTGTGGATACATACCAATGAGGAGGATGACTGTAGTTTGATTGTAGGAATACTGGGAACAGCTCTAGTTATTAGTTTTATACTGTTTTTTTTTTTTTTTTTTTACTTTATTAAATTGTTGGAGCTCTTTTGTTATTTGTGAGGCTTAAAGGAGATATTCGGTTGCAGTTGCAAGTCTCTACACAGCAGCCAGTGAGTGCCCAGCCACAGGGGCATTGGTGAATGTGTCTGTAGAATGAGCCAATGAAGAGGATGCATTGGAGTCTTTCTATGTTTTACACATTGTGTGCATAGAAAATTAGTGGATATGTTGTTGTTGTTGTTGTTATGCAGTTTAATATTGTTCTCAAAGAGGAACTTCACATCCTGTTTTGTTTTTTTCCAATACTCTCTTAACTGGTTTTCTGGGTTATACTTAAAGTGATACTGGACTCTGCATTCACTATATCTGGTCTCCCACAGTACACAGAACATGGAAATGCAATTATTTTAGTAAATATAAACTGCTAAATACCTTTTCTCCTCAGCAGTTAGAGCAGTCTTGAGACTTCAGCAGAGCACTGGTTAAAGCTTGTAGGAAGAGTTTTCTTTCTGCTCTAGGAGGATGTGAAACCTCTGACCCTCTGTCTGGACAGTGCTGATTGGCCCTGTGCTGATCACATGTACTCTCCCAGGAAAAAAAAAAAAAAAAACCTCTTTAGCAATACACACCAGACTGAGAATGTGTATGTGACCACGGGTTCAGTCTGTATCAGGTGGTTATTTCAACAAGGAGGGGCAGAGAAGAAGGAATCAAACAGCTTTTTTACATAATTTAGATGATTAACCCCTTAGGTTCCACTGTGAGTATAACAAGCATGCTGTACTACATATACAGACTGATTTTACTGTTGTGGGTTTAGTAACACTTTAAAGAGGTTGTAAAGGCTCAAGGTTTTTCTACGCATGAAGGAAAAAATCTTTGTGTGCGGCAGTGCCCCCAGCCCCCTCAATACTTACTTGAGCCTCATCATGATCCAGCGATCTGAACAACAGCCTTGGCTGTCCCGGGTCTCTGCTTCTTCTCATTGGCAGAGACAGCAGCTGGAGCTATTGGCTTCTGCTGCTGTCAATCACAGCCAGTCAGCCAGTGAGGAAAGAGAGGGGGTGGGGCCAAGCCACAGCTCCGTGTGTGAATGGACACACGGAGCAGCGGGTGCCCCTATAGCAAGCTGCTTGCTGTGGGGGCACCCGACAGGAGGGAGGGGCCAGGAGAGTCTGCAGGGGACCCAAGAAGAGGAGGATCCAGGCTGCTGTGTGCAAAACCAAGTATAGACATGTTTGTTATTTTCCAAAAAAAATAACCTTTAGGGCTCGTTCACACTTGACTGTTTTTCCAACACTTGCCAAATGCCTCTATAGCGTTTGACAAGCGTTGGTTAAAAACGCTCCGCAAACGCCGCATGCGCGGCTTAGCGGCGGTTGCTAGCATTTGCCAAGCGTTAAAAATGCCCCACAAACGCCTATAATGAAGTTTGAATGGTGTTACCGCTCTGCAAACGCGTCACCACCGCAAACGCTGGCCGGGCGTTTGCGGGGCGGCACCATAGGCTTCAATAGCAGGCTTCAACTCCTCCTGACTTGACCAGAGGCGTCCGTTTTGAACAGCACTATGTGCTGCAATGTGCAGAATTTTCCCAGGCGTTTGGGAAACGGTAAAAACGCTTCCCAAACGCCTGCCTGCCGCTTGCTAACAAGGCTAGTGTGAACGTAGCCTTAGAATCACTTTAAAGTGGATCTACACTGCATCTGAGCACCACCAATCAAAAATGCTATTTAATTAATTTTTTACTATTCAAAACAAACTCCCTCCATCCATCCATGTTTCAATCACTTTGAAAAACACCCCCTAGCATTTCTGGCCATGGCCATCTTGAGTAAGGGCAAATGACTCATGCAGTATTTACTTCTTGGAATCCATCTGTCCTTAGCTCAGGCATGCTGGAGGGGGGTGTGCTTGGCTGAGAAACCCCTCCCCCCCTTCCTGAAAATTCCTGGGATGTATGATATAATTTGCCTATGCCCTGAAAACAGTGAACAACTGTAAAAAAAAAAAAAGTTTAAAGCAAGTAAATAAGCAAGTAAATATGATATTTTCCTATCTATTTACTAATGCTGGTAGCATAAGGATTAAAATAGTAATTGTTTACTGAGAGTGAAGTTCCACTTTAATAAGCTTACTAACATACCCAGGGAATTCAGCAATGTCCTGTGGTAATCCAGTGCTCTGCTGCTTTCGCCTAGGTCCATGCTGCCATCTTGCTCTGACGTCGTTGGGAGTGGGCAGTCTCTTCTTGGGTCTTGTAGCCAGCCCCATGATGATGTGTATGTGGGAGTGTAGGGTGTGAAGGTCCACTTTAAGAAATTGGTTTCTTGTGTATGTGGTAGTGTTATGTCAATCCACACACACACACTGATTGCAGTTTTTTTTATTGTTTGTGGAAACTAAGCAGTTGTATATGTGGGTATGATTGGTTAGAATGATTGTTTTCTTAGTTTAGTAGAAGCGATAAGAGCACAGAATTGGGATTAATATTATTATATACATAATATTTATATACACGAGGTGGTATCAAAATGTTTTGAGACTAGCTCTGTTTACAAGAAATAACTTTATTTACCTACGTTTACATACTATCACCTTCAACATAGTCCCCTTGCACAGCAATTCAGCGCTCCCGATGTTCCTGTCACTTCTGGAATGTGTCCTGGAAGTCTTTTCGAAGCGTGTTAAGCATCTTATGCTATTCGCTCTGAATCTCCACACTGTTGTCAAAATGGTGACCTTTGATCTGGATCTTCGGGAAGAGGGTGAAGTCTTTAGGAGCCATCTGTGGCGAGTAGGGTGGGTGCTGAAGTGATATCATTGCAGCCTGGGGACGGACTTGGCAGCAACACAGCGCATGTTCAAATCACATGCGAGGATTGCCTGTACTGTTGACACACCGACAATGGCAGCAGGGTGGATTGGATTTAAATCACGATTTAAATCACTAGTCCACACAAAACGCCACAAATGACTTAACGCAGCATCGCTGTAAACTTGCCGAATCATGTCAGATGTCTCTGTGGCAGATTTGCCCAGTTTCCTGCAGAATTTCACGTCTGCTATATTTTTTAACTTGCTGATCATGAGAAAATAGTGGTAATGCACGTGGTCAGAATAGCACCAGTTGCACAGGTCCCGATATACACAGGACGATGTCTTTTGGTTCCCTGTAACTGTGCTTGTGTGTATAATAAATAAATAAATACACACACCGACCACTTTATTAGATACACCTGTTCAATTGCTTGGTAACACAAGTTGCTAATCTGCCAATCACATGACAGCAACTCGACTTGCTGAAGTTCAAACTGAGCATCAGAATGGGGGAAAAAAGGGGATTTAAGTGACCTTGAACATGGCATGGTTGTTGGTGCCAGACTGGCTGGTCTGAGTATTTCAGGAACTGCTGATCTGCTGGGATTTTCACGCACAACCATCTCTAGGGCTTACAGAGAATGGTCTGAAAAAGCGAAAATATCCAGTGAGTAGCGGTTGTGTGGACAAAAATGCCTTGTTTATGTCAGAGGTCAGAGGAAAATGGGCAGATTGGTTGCTGAGACATTGTGGTAGGGTCAGAATCTGACGTAAACATGAAGGCATGGATCCATCCTGCCTCGTTTCAACAGTTCGGGCTTGTGGTGGTGTAATGGTGTGGGGGATATTTTATTTATTATTATTATTTATACCTAGTAAAGTAGCCGGTGAGTGTATATATTATAATATACATTCCTATTATAGGCTGTCCAGGAAGTAAAGATTTTGAAAGAATCTTGAACACCAAAATACTACAAAATGATCTTTAGTGCTAGTAGACTGAAGTGTTGCATTTTGAGCCTTAGCACTCCATCTTCATATAAGTACATTGTACTCTACTCTAGTTGTGTCTCGTTTGTGTCAGCCATCAATCACTGCAGAAAGGTTTGTAGTTTAATTCATTCCTTTTCATTGGTTAACTTCAGTTATAAAAGATGCTAAATTTTACAATGCTTTTGTAATGCTTTATATCAGTAAAGTGGGGTATCAGTAAAGTATCAGTAAAGACATTGATGTCAGTCCACTGATGGATTTAGTGAAAGGTTCCCAGCTGCAAGCTAATGAAGTGGTGTTATGAGATATGCAACATGTAATGAATGGTGCTATTTTTCTGTGAGATCAAAAAATAAGACAAATGCATGATGTTTAAGGCCTCTTCCTCATGGGTGGTAGTGTTAACACCATCTGCGGTGGATCGCTTTTCAGAGGTGGCTGTGAAGATATTTGCAGGCATTCAGAAGGTGATACTACTGATTTCTGATTGCCTGTGTGTGACGATCGCAGCATCAGAACCCTGACCTTCTCACCAAACTCGTGACCGAAGGACTGGCCAATCTAAAACCGCTATGTCACGTGCATAACAATGCCACGCCCAGCTGCACCCTGCACAACGATTTTCCAGCTAATTGGACCACAATCGATGTACCGACAGCCTGGGAGCGATTGTTACTGGGTCAGGTTAATTACGCAATTACCCTTCACACTGCCACCACCTCCTTTTTGTACAGAGAAAGAGGAAACTCGGCAATATCAGCAATAACACTATAATGGTTGAGATAATCGTCTGTATAACACGGTCACCGCAGGCCAGTTATACAGAGGGTTAAACAAACACAGTAGCGCTCTTTCCGAGGCAGGAATTCGTAAATTGCAATAAAGAGCTATAGAAACAGTTCAACACTTTCAGAAGGAAAGATTTATTAGTAAAAGGTCAAAGTCCTGGGTTAGCAGATCAAGTTTCAGAGCGAAATGGTACGGGTCTCCCAAGTTGGTTCTGATGTTAAACGGGAGAATTCTTCAACTTAACTCTCTTAGGCCTGACAGCCCATTTTATAGCTCCCTAGCAGGGGGTGTCTCTGAAGTCAAGGACCAATGCCCCGTATAGGGAGGGATCGTCTGGGCATAGCCCTAAACTAGAGCCAAAATCTCTTCTAGTTCATATTTTTGGCTCATAACTTTCCCTGTGCACAAGTGACATTCCACCCGCGGGTAGATTATTATGCAGACACATCTGAGGAATGATTAGATATGAAATATGAAATTATACACTGAATGGTTCAAGAGTTCTACTTTTCTGCTTTCCTATGTATTCCAGCCAAGGAGAGTGACCTATCAAACTGTTTGTCTCCTCGTGGCCAATTTGAAGATATGCCTGGTTTTTATGAGTCTCTCATATTCCAAGATATGAGATAGGGGAAAAATGGATTTTAAAAGTGTTATCTGGTTGTGTTTCCTTGGAATGTCTTTGAACTCCTGGGAAGGCTTGCGTTATCTTTTACGAGGTGTTAGATTGCACAACTCTCTTAGACAACCAGGCCCTCAACTCAAAAATGTTTTATAGCTCTGGGCATCCCTGCTGTGCCCTGCCTAGCCTGTGACACTCCTAACACACAGGCCATATGTCAATGTGTATGAACCGAGAGGGAAGGGGGGAGAATGAGGGGGAAATATGTTTGTCAGGATGGTTGACCCCTTTGCCAAGATGGAGGTTGAAGCCAAAATGGTTGAACCGCATCCATCTCTGGGTGTACGCCTGCCACGCTGTGTTTTAACTTTTTTTATTTCATTTTTTTTTACTTTAAAGCCAGATAGGGATTTTGCTAAGGATGGCTGTACTGGATCCATGAGCCAAGTATCTGGCTTGCAGTTGTGGTGTGGTCATGCTCATTTTATTAGGTGAGTTACATTTGCTGTTGCCACAAAGCATTGTGGCTGCTGTAGGTGTACAAACTCCACCAGCTGCCATGTTGGGCTTTAGGTGGGTGGTCAGGGGGGGGGGGGGGGTTAGG